TCAAGTTGTATTTGATATCATAGTTAATAAATATGTAAACACTGAAGCAGTATTTTTTGAAACTCCACTCTTCGTACATCTATCGATTCTACTCATTCTTCTCAAATGGTGCTTTCCAGAACTCCATGCTCCTGCTACCATCAGGACTGGGTTCAAGCGTCCTTTTAGTAAGGCTTCTATATTGAATCACCATTTCCTACATTTTCTTGTTCCCATATTTTTAACCATCCTATCTTTATTCTATATTTTACAAAAGCCAATCTTGTACTTTTCCAAAAACGATGTAAGGCGGACACTCTTTTTAGTCCTTACATGTTTGAAGACATCTTTATTTTATTGTTCTTTCAGTCAATAATTTGCCTGGGCTTAGAAACTTCAGAATTTTGGAGGTATTTCTCCACTCCCTTTTAGTGTTAGAGGTATTTGTTACAACTGTGAGACTGACTCTGTCATGGATCCTATTATGGGCATATAGTGTTCACCTAAAATATTGGTATCAATATCATTGTGGGCCTTATAATAAGAGGGGATTTGGACACACATACACCCAGAAGGAACAACATGTGCAGACTCAGAAAGAAAGACTGTCTGTGAGCCAAGGAGAGAGGGTTGAAACCAACCCTGCTGACATCTTGATCTTGGCCTTCTACAGTGCAGAACTATGCCAACATGATTTTTTGTTGTTTGAGGCAGCCAGATCAGAAGTGGAGCAGCTGGGACGCAAACCAGCACCCATAAAGGATGCTGGTGTTGCAGGCAGTAGCTTAACCTGCTACACTACAAAAAAGGCCTCAGAACTTTCACTGTATACAGAGATCCTCTCATGACCATATCACAGGACCTAGGAGGTGCAGATAGGAAAAGAATTTACACAGGAAAGAACACAGCTTTATTTGTTCTATTCACTACACCTTTGGACTACAGTGCATTGAAGTACAACGTGAGTTCAAAAAAGGCAGGAAAGCCTTAAAGGCAATACAGCGATAGTGACTGGTGTTGGCTTCACAGCCCAGAAGCCTGGGGCCAGAAGCTCACTTGGCCACCTGCCAGCACTGTCACTTCATGAGTCTCAATGTCCTAGTTATAAGTTATAACTTATAAGTTATATATATATATTATATATATATTATATATATATATAATATATATATATATATAAGTTATAAGTTATATGAAGATCATAGAAATTCTTTGAGGGTTAAGTAAATCAATCCACATGCACTACTTAGCATCATGCCTAGCACCAAGTAGGTGTAATTATTAATTAATATTAATAATAAGACATTAGTTACTAGCAAGAGTGTTAACATCAGGTCATTAATTTGCTTAACAGGAAACACATACTTAATACTGACATGTTAGTTACTACCCTTTCTTTAAGCTGTCAAGTAGAATTCTGCTATTAAAATCAATAGCTATGCTATATTCTTTAAATGTGATTCTTTGTTTTCATAAATCTTTCTCATTTCAAAGGAGGTATACATTCACTAAGAAATATGTATCAACATCCACAGTCTACAAAGTATCCACCTGGGCCAGCGCTATGGCACAGTGTGTTAACGCTCTGGTCTGAAGTGCCAGCATCCTTCATGGGTGCCGGTTCAAGACCTGACTGCTCCACTTCTGATCCACCTCTCTGCTATGGCCTGGGAAAGCAGTAGAAGATGGCCCAAGTCCTTGGGACCCTGCACCCGCATGGGAGACCCAGAAGAACCTCCTGGCTCCTGGCTTCAGATCAGCGCAGCTCCAGCTGTTGCGGCCAATTGGGGAGTGCAGATGGAAGACGTCTCTCTCTCTCTCTCTCTCTCTCTCTCTCTCTCCTCTTTCTGTGTAACTCTGACTTTCAAATAAATAAATAAATCTTTAAAAAAAAGTATCCACCAATTAGAATAAGTCATCTCTGTTGCCAGCCTGAGAACTGGTTCTCTTTTGTGACTGTTTTCACTTGGTAGTTGGGTCCTTTGCCATATTTAATTATTTTACGATAAGGTACTTTATAAATACTTCTTTCAAACAAGAGGTCTATGCCACTCAGTTAAACTGCACTGTCAAGTCTCAAAAATAAATAAATAAATCCAGAATGCAGTTCTGATGGCCAAGATTTTTATCTATTATTATGACATTGGGTCAAATCTAGTTGGTTTTTGTCAGAGGTACCATGTCTATTCCTTTACCAGTTAATGTGAATGTTATCTGCTATGGCATAGTCTTTTTTAAAAGATTTTATTTATTTGAGAGGCAGAAATACAGACAGAGAGAGGAAGAGAGAGAAAGAGGCAAACATATTCCATTTGCCGGTTCACTCCCCAAATGACAACAACGGCCAGAGCTGGGCTGATCTGAATCCAGGAGCCAGGAGCTTCTTCCCAATCACCCACATGGGTGCAGGAGCCCAAGCAAATGGGCCATCTTCTACTGCTTTCCCAGGCCATAGCAGAGAGCTGGATTGGAAGTGGAGCAGCTGGGACACGAACCAGTGCCCATATAAGTTGCTGGCACCACAGATTTAGCCTACTGTGCCACAGCACTGGTTCCCACTATTGCATAATGTTAGCCATGGTATTATTCTTGTTTGTAAGCAGTGAACACTGGCGCATTTCCTGATTGCGGGTTTCATCACCACACTAGTTGTGTCCTCTTGTTTCGTGGCTTCATTTACCACAGCATATGCCAACACGGAAAGATTTAATAGGTTTCGGGGATTGAATGAACTTCCTGTAAAATCACGTACCACGTAATGATGAAAGTAACTAGGACCACATATATGATGATAGTCTCACAGGAGTATAATAGAGTTGAAAAATTCCCACCACTTAGTGACATGGTAGCCCTCAAAGCTTAAGGTCTTAGCACAATACATTACTCAGTTGTTTGTGGAAATTCTGGTATAAGCAAACCTACCGTGCTGTCAGTGATGTAAAAGTATAGCACATACATTTTTGTACAGCCCTTTACTCATTATTTTATTGTGAATTTCTGTTTATAAAAAAAAAAAAGTTCTGTTAAGCTGTATGCCACCTGCAAACTAATACATCTCTGTTTACCATGTCTCTTGATTGCAACAAGAGACCACATTGAGTAACTGGCCTATACTACTAGGTTTGTGTAATTACACTAATATTTGTCCAAGGATAAAACATGAGCTTAATGGCACATTTCTCAGAACATGCCCCAATTGTTAAGCCACACATGACTGTACTTGAATGCAAAGTCTGTGAAATTCTTGCCCCACATGGTCACACATACACACTAAAACAGCTTAGTGAGGAGGCTAAAATCAATTTTTTTTTTTTTTTTTTGGACAGGCAGAGTTAGACAGTGAGAGAGAAAGAGAGACAGAGAGAAAGGTCTTCCTTTTACGTTGGTTCACCCCCCAAATGGCCGCTATGGCTGGCGCTGCACCAATCCAAAGCCAGGAGCCAGGAGACTGGTTGCTTCTCCTGGTCTCCCATGCGGGTACAGGACCCAAGGACCTAGGCCATCCTCCATTGCCCTCCCAGGCCACAGCAGAGAGCTGGACTGGAAGAGGAGCAACCAGAACAGAATCCAGCACCCTGACCGGGACTAGAACCCGATGTGCCTGCGCTGCAGGCAGAGGATTAACCAAGTGAATCTTGGCGCTGGCCGAAAATCAATTTTTAAAAAATCTCTTTACTCACTCTTCATCCCTATCCATAGCAGCCTGGTGTGCTAATGCTTGCAATGACTTCTAGATAAGAGCTTCTGCACCAGTCGTGAAACTACCTTAAGTAGAGAATATTCTGAGACAGTGAGAAAGAAATAACTCCTACCTCACAATGAAACACTTAGTGTTGCCAGAGAAAGCAAGGGTCCTTGTCTTCGCGCGAGAAAGAATTCAGGTGTGAGACAGAGCGGGGAAAGCAACATAGCAAGGTTTATTAGGGCAGAGACATACGTAAGAACGGATGGGCACCTCTCCAGGCAGAACCTGAGAGAGAATGCCCAGTCGCTCAGACTGGGGAGGAGCGAGGTTACATGGTTGAGTGGAGAGAATACACCTGGGCAGGCCAGACGGGCGGCTCAGCAGAGAGGCAGAGGGCTGAGCGTGCAGTCGGGTTGAGGCCGGGGTTTTTGAGGGGATGGGTCTTGCCTTCCTGCCTCTTCTCCTGGAACAAAGGACTTTTTGGATGTAATGCAAAAAATTCCTTTCTGAGCTTTCCCTCTGAAGTTATCAGACAGGAGGAAGCCTTGCTGGTGTTGGCCTCACCTTAGAGGAAGGATGGTTATATGGTTATCTGGTAGAAGGGGTAAGGCATTTGAAGTGCAGATCCTGGGCTGCACCTGGAAGGTTATCAGGATGACTTTGAGATGCAGCTGCTGGACCTAAATGTCAATTCCACACACATGAGCTCATTTCTGATTTCCTACCTAACATCAGTATATTAGCAAAAGTACTAGATCCTCAGCCATTCACTTTAGCTTATTATTTTAAAACAGTATTTTTCTCATAATTTAAAAATATATTTTTCCTACTGAATATGTTATTACCTGGCCTCAGTGTACTTTTTAATTAGAGGGAGGAGGCAGCAATTATAATTTTTTAAAGTTTTCTCAGGTACCTTCCATATAAACAACTTTGATCATTTTGTGATTCATTCATTATCAAATTTCTATTAATATAGAAATGTAAAATTAAAGATGGGATATTTGCTGAAAATCAGGTAGGTATTAATCTGCAACCTAAAAAATATATAATAAAACATCTGTTATCTTATATCTTCAGATTCCAGATACTTCTTGCAGTTACAGAAAATTGGGAGTATGTGCTCCTGAGTTTCCCATTTTGTAAAAACTGTAAAATGAAATTCTCTTAAAATCAAAGGGACCTATGATGACAAAAACCAAAAGAAAAGACATTAGTGGGGCTGATTTCTGTAACATCCCATATTTCAACTAATCAATATTTTCATGAGCCCTGAGAACTTAGAATGTGCTAGAGATTCAATGAATAAAAGTGTTTGTACTCTTTGCATTAACAGCCTACTGAGGTGGGAAGAGAGAAACAAATAAAGGAAGAATTGTAGCTGAGTGAGAAACATGCAAAAGGAATAAAGGGAAGTAATTTCTAACCTTGAGGTAAGGCCAATTGGAAGGGAGTGGGGTGAGCAGAAAACCTCCTCTGGACATACTATGGCTAGCAAAAAAATTCTGAATGGGACAGACTTGAGGATACTCTATTAACTGACCTAAATTATCTGGTAGAGAACAAGAGGGATGGGTGATGAACAAGATCTCAGTGAGGACTGGAGCAGATGGATCTAAAAGCAGAAGGCCAGGTTAACAAAAAGTATAAAAAATGGCCTCTTAGGTAAATGGACAAAAATGGTTACAATTGGATTAAATGAGATTATAAAGTTATAGCTCCAAAGGAAAAACTGTGAGGTAACTTAGAAATCTAGGACTTTCTAAGAGAAATAGGAAAAAATAGACACTAACATAGATAACAGTAGCAAAGTTGATTGCCTTTATTATGCCGCTGATTGTGTTAGGGGCTTTATGTACATTTCCTTAATTTCTTCTTTCAAGGATTGGCACCATTAGTGTCTCCACCTTATGGAATTCAAAATTGAAGAAACTTTCTAATTGCCTCAGGTTATAGAAGTATTGCTGGTGCAGTTGTAATCCCAGATCGTGCCAGCAGCTCAGAATGAAAGCAAAGAGTTGAAGAGCATGAGTAAGTTGCTTTGAGGAATGTGAGTATAAGCTGATGGGGAATGTGAAAGAGAATAACTGAGGAACACGCATGGCCTGGGTCAGAATGAGGTCATTTATTCTGCAAAAGATCAAGATTCCTTTCCAGTGACAGGGTTATGAAGAACAGATATTGGAGGATACTAGATGATGCTGTTCTGTTCTTCTCTTTAAATTTCCTCTCTTGTCATAAATTAATTTCAAAAATTTATGTCAGTTTTGTTTTAAAAATCTAATGCTTTATGAAATTTGAAATAATATAATAATGCAAAAACAATAGACTAAATATTAGCAGAATAAACTTCTAGTCCTAACTTCAGCTTTGTAATTTTTAATTTCTGGATTTTTATCTCATCAATCTTAAAATGCAAATGAGTCTAAAGTTCACATTTCATATATTTCATCCACATAAATTAACTGGCCTAATAACTGAAAATGAGATAAATACATGAGGTGAATATTTTCTTGTGTATTAGTTAATAAATATACACATTTTTGATTTTATTATTTTTCTGTCTTTCTCATCCTGACTAGGAGATTCTAGAAAGTTTTGTCAGCTCAAACATGTCACATAGTAATAAAATTGATACCTTTATTTTATATAAGCTTTGAATTGGCAATATTTGATTTGTCCTCTATGGTTTTAGATATCTAATTTCTAGCTTAATTAAGCAGATTTCAAATAAATCTCAAGTCAAAGAAGGGAGTCAATATTTGAAAACTACCAAGGAAAGAGAAATAGAATGCTAGTTAGTAAAATTTTAGTGAAGATGAGTATCTTCAGAAAACTTGCAGTGTAGTTTTATGTCTGGCTAAAAGTATTCACTAGAACATTATAACTCAAATTTTGTTTGGTTTTACCCTGGGGAAATGACTAACTTCATTTGTTTTTGTTTTTGTTTTCAAAAAAAGATTTTGGGGGTAGGCGTTTGATCTGGGTTTAAGATGCAAAGTCAAGAGGTGTGTGTCCCATATCAAAGTGGTTGGGTTTGATGCCTGCCTCTGGCTCCCGACTCCAGCTTCCTGCTCATGTAAACCACGGGAGGCAGCAAAGGTGATTCAAGCAGTTAGGATCCTATACCATGGGGGGGGGCGGGTTCTGAATTTGGTGTTGGGATCCTTAATTCAGTAGAGGCCTACCTTCAGCCATTGTGGGAAGTTTTGGAGTGAGACGGTGGATTGGAGCTCTCTCCATCTATATATCTCTCTTTCTCTGACTCTCAAATTAATAACATAAATAATAGTTAAAACTTTCTTTGTTTGTTTTTTACAAAGGGGAGGGCGTTTGGCCTGATGGTTAAGAGGCCCACATTCCACGTTGGAGTGCGTAGATTCAAATCCAGGCTCTCTTCTCAATTCCAGCTTCCTGTTAATGGGAGGAAGCAGATGGTGACTCAAGTACCGGCTTCTTTGCCACACAAGGTCTGAGAAGCCTGGATTGTGTTACAGTGTCTCAACTTGGGCCTGGCCCAGCCCCGTCACTGTGTACATCTGGAGAGTAAACCAGGGGGTGAGAGCTCTCTTTTCTGCCTCTGTCCCTGAAATACATAAACAATTTTTTTTAAAGAAAGATTTGATCAAGTGATTTCTTTCAAAATAGAAATTCACTCTGAGTGTGTATTAACAAGTTTATCCCAATGCCATCCAATATTAACTGAGATTTTATTTATTAAAGTGTGTATGAACAATAAGCAAACATCTGTATGAAATTTCACACCCAAATAAGTGATGCTCAATTTGAGAAGGAAAGACATAAAAGTCATAAGAATTTGTAGGAAGCAGCCTCATCATTTTCTGTGTCTTTAATCCATCTTCTCTCTTCCCAGGTAAGGGATACCTTGCCTTCTAACACTACAGATGAATTTTGCCTGTGTTCAAATGTATGTAAATGGAACTATGTAATATATATATTTTTGTATCAGACTTCTTTGACAAAACATATTTCTAAGATTCATCTAGATTTTTGTATGCAGCAATAGTTCTTTAATTATGCTGAATAGTTTTCCATAGTTTGAATCATCTTCAAACAGTTCATGTAAAATGTGTGTAATGAAAATATTATGCATAGATTTCAAAAATTTTCTGCACAAAAATAAGTTTCATTCATTTCCATTTTGTTCACAAACTTTTTGAAATATTGCATATGAGATACCACAATTATCTATTCAGTTGTTGTTGGGGTATCTACAGTTTAACAAATGCACTTTTATTTTTTTTTGACAGGCAAAGTGGACAGTGAGAGAGAGACAGAGAGAAAGGTCTTCCTTTTTCCATTGGTTCACCCTCAATGGCAGGTGCACTGCGCTGATCCAAAGCCAGGAACCAGGGGACCAGTTGCTTCTCCTGGTCTCCCATGCATGTGCAGGACCCAAGAACCTGGGCCATCCTCCACTGCACTCCCGGGCCACAGCAGAGAGCTGGACTGGAAGAGGAGCAACCGGGACAGAATCCGGCACCCTGACCGGGACTAGAACCCGGGGTGCCGGCACCACAGGCGGAGGATTAGCCTATTGAGCTGTGGCACTGGCCTAACAAATGCACTTTTAATTACATATATTTGTATAAAGGTAAAGTGATATTTCCAAAGTTTCTTAGAAAACAGAAAGTCAACCACAAGGATTTAATATGCAAACCATATTCATGAACTTACATATTAAAATGAATTTACATATTAAAATGAACTTTTTAAGTATGCTTCTTTTGATAATGTAAATTACACTAGTTTCATGTTTACTTAGTACATTCAACTATAAGAAAACCTGCTAAAGGAAATATAGATAATGACATAGAGCAGTACGGGGAGAGCAATAAACCAGTTATGGTAAGGCTCTTATGCACTGGTCTAATAAATAAGTCATTTTGTATAAAACGATATAATGTTATTTAACAACAATGTTTTCTTTCTATTTTTTTAATATTTATTTATTTACTTGAAAGGCAGAGTTACAGAGAGGCAGAGGCAGAAAGAGAAATAAACAGGTCTTCCATCTGCTGTTTCACTCCCCAGATTGCTACAATGGCTGGAGCTGCGTCGATCAGAAGCCAGGAGCCAGGAGTTTCCTCCAGGTCTCCCACCCAAGTGCAGGGGCCCAAGGACTTGGGCCATCTTCTACTGCTTTCCCAAGCTATAGTAGAGAGCTGTATTCGAAGTAGAGTAGCCAGGACTTGAACCGGCACCCGTATGGGATGCCGGAAATACAGGCAGCAGCATTACCCACTATGCCACAGAGCCAGCCCCAGCAACAAAGTATTTTTTTTTATTTATTTTTTATTTTTTTTAACTTTTATTTAATGAATATAAATTTCCAAAGTAAAGCTTATGGATTACAATGGCTTCCCCCCATAACGTCCCTCCAACCCGCAACCATCCCCTTTTCCACTCCCTCTCCCCTTCCATTCACTTCAAGATTCATTTTTGATTCTCTTTATATACAGAAGATCGGTTTAGCATACATTAAATAAAGATTTCAACAGTTTGCTACCACACAGATACATAAAGTGAAAAATACTGTTTGAGTACTAGTTATAGCATTAAACCTCAATGTACAGCACACTAAGGACAGAGATGCTACATGAGGAGTAAGTGCACAGTGACTCCTGTTGTTGACTTAACAAACTGACACTCTTGTTTATGGCATCAGTAATCACCCTAGGCTCTTGTCATGAGCTGCCAAGGCTATGGAAGCCCCCTGAGTTCACTGACTCTGATCATATTTAGACAAGGCCATGGTCAAAGTGGAAGTTCTCTCCTCCCTTCAGAGAAAGGTACCTCCTTCTTTGATGACCTGTTCTTTCCACTGGGATCTCACTCGTGGAGATCTTTCATTTAGGTTTTTTTTTTTCCCCAGAGTGTCTTGGCTTTCCATGCCTGAAATAGTCTCATGGGCTTTTCAGCCGGATCCGCATGCCTTAAGGGCTGATTCTGAGGCCAGAGTGTTGTTTAGGACATCTGCCATTCTATGGGTCTGCTGTGTATCTCACTTCCCATGTTGGATCGTTCTCTCCCTTTTTTATCCTATCAGCTAGTATTTGCAGACACTATTCTTGCTTATGTGATCCCTTTGGTTCTTAGTCCTATCATTATGATCAATTGTGAACAGAAATTGATCACTGGGACTAGTGAGATGACATTGGTGCATGCCACCATGATGGGATTGAATTGGAATCCCCTGGTATGTTTCTAACTCTACCGTTTGAGGTAAGTCAGCTTGAGCATGTCCCGAACTGCACATCTCTTCCCTCTCTTATTCCCACTCATATTTAACAGTGATCACTTTTCAGTTAAGTTTCAGCACTTAAGAAGAATTGTGTATTGATTACAGTATTCAACCAAAAGTATTAAGTAGAACAAACAAAAAAAAATACTAAGAGGGATAACATATTAAGTTGTTCATAATAAAGAGAAAATACTTTCATCCTCATAAGAGTCCACATGATCATTCTCTTGAAAAAATCAGACAATCAAATGAGTAGGGAGAGGAATGAGAGGGCAGCACTGAGGAAATAGTTGGAGGGTGAAGAGGAAGTAGGGGTGGGTGTGTGAGGGACGGCATGCTCAGACCACATAGAATCTGAGAAGTGCACTATATTCGGTTCCTAAGTCATAAGTGACTTAGAACAATAGAAACACATTGTCTCTCAGTTCTCAAAACTTGAAGTCTTAAATCACGGTGTACGCAGGCTTATGCTGTGCTTGATGGCTCTATAGAGCATTCTTCATTGTCTCTACTGGCTTCTGCTGTCTGAAGAAATGTTTGCTATTCTTTGGCTTATAGATTATTACTGCAGTCAGATGGCCATCTTCCCCGGTGCATCTTCACACCACGAACTTAACTCTGCATGTGCGTCTCAGTGTCCAAATTACCCTCTCTTATAAGGACACCAGTGATAATGGATTAGGGCCTGTCTCAATGGGCCCATCTTAGATTATTTTAACTTTCTTATATCTGTAAAGATCCTATTTCCAAATAAAGCAACATTCTGAGGTGCTATAGTGAGAATTTCAACATAGTTTTTTGAGGAGACACTCAGACTATAAATAGGGGGTGATGAGAATTTACATAAATAATGACGAAGCCCCAGCCTTCCTGTCTTTTTCCACTTCCAAAGGACCTGCATCTAGGAGTATGGC